AAGAAACAGCTGCAAGAACCTGCTAGTAAATGGAATGTGGAATATAAAACATATCAATCAAGGCAACTGAAGTAATTAAAAATGAAGTGAGATGCATAAGGATATATATATATATATCTATATCTATATATATATCCTAGGCAATAATGAGCTACAGGGAACTCATGTTGACCAACCTGAATCAGATAAATATTACATACTATCCTGTCAATGACAAACTGAAGAGGAATGGCATCACAATCGTCATCAAAAATAACATTCCAAGATACATATTAAGTATAATACCATCAATGAATGGATAACGTTTATATACCTATAGAGGGATTTACATACAAACCACTAATACCAAAGATAAAGAAATGGAAAATTTTTACCAACATCCACAGTCTGAAATTGATCAAACATATAATAAAGATGCACTGATAATTACTGCTGATTGGAATTCAAAGGCTGAAAGCAAAGAAAAATCAGTAGCTAGAAATAAGACCATGGTGATAAAAGCTGGAAATTACAGAATTTTGCAGGACCAACAACATATTCATTGCAAATACCCTTTTTCACCAAAATAAACAGTGATTATACACGTGGACCCTACAAGATAAAATATGTTGTTGTTGTTGTTAGGTGCTGTTAAGTTGAGAATGACTCATAGCAACCCCATGAACAAAAGATCTGAATGCTGTACCATAGTCAAATCAACTACATCTGTGGAAAGAGATGATGAAGAAGCTTGGTATCCCATCAGTCAGAATAAGGCTAGGAGTCATCTGTGGAACAAACTTACAGTTGCTCAAATCCAAGTTGAATCTGAAGCTGAAGAAAAGTAAAACAAGTTCCAAAAAAAGGTCAAAGTATGTCTTGAATGTAACATGCTTACATTTAGAAACTATTTCAAAAATAAATTTGATACGCTGAACATTTATTATTGAATACCAAGGGAATTACAGGCGGACATCAAGGATAGCACACATGAGAAAAGCAAAAGGTCAATTAAAAAGAGACAACAAAACTGGATGTCATCAACTTTAAAACTTGCTCTACAGCACAGAGAAGCTAAAATGAATGGAAAAAATTAAGGAGCTGAATGGAGGATTTCAAAGGCTAGCTTGAGAAGACAACGTATTAAAATGAAATGTACAAAGATCTAGAGTTAGAAAACTAAAAGGGAAGAACATGTTCAGCATTTTTAAAGCTGAAACACTGGAGACAAAAAATCCAAGCTTCAGTTGCAAACAGAAATACCATTTGACCCAGAAATTCCACTACTGGGAATTTACCCTAAAGAAACCATAACTGCCACCCAAGCATATATATGCACACCCATGTTTACTGTGGCTTTGTTCGCAAAAGCAGAGAGCTGGAAACAACCCAAGTGCCCATTAACAAATGAATGGATAGAGAAGCTCTAGTATATTCACACAAAGGAATACAATGCAGCACTGAAAAAGAAGGAACTCATGAAATACTATGCAAAATGGATGACTCTGGAGGACATTATGCTGAGTGAAATATCTCAGTCACAAAAGGACAAATATTGCATAGGGCCACTGTTGTAAAATGGGAATGACATCATGGTTGAGGGAAGACAGAAAAGGAGGGGAAGAATGATGTATATTGCATTGAAACAGATGAGGGAGAGAACTGTTTAAAAGGGATATATGAATGAGTATTCTTGTCATTACAGAAGTCCAGAGTGAAGGCCGCATAGTGGACTTGGGGGGAGGGATTGCTTAACAATGAAAGAATTTTTTTTCCTTCATTTTCAAGGAGAAGAGTTAATTGGGAGGGAGCGAATAGGCAGGGAGAAAAGTTCAACAATGAATGACTGGAAACCTTAAGTCTCTGTAAACTTTCATTAAAATCAATTAAAAAAAAAAATCCAAGCATCGAGTAGCAATACTGAAGGGGAGCTCTGGTGGCTAAGTAGTAAGGAGTGTGCTGTCAACTCAAAAGCACTCAGTTTGAGTCCACTCAGTTTGCTCTATAGGAGAAAGATGAGCAATCTCCTTCCAGGCAATTAAATGCCTCTGAAAACCTGCTGGTCAGCCAGCTATTAGTTAGTTCCAACTCTACAGTACATAACAACAATATGGACAAAATATTGAATGGTAAAGGAACCATTTAGGAAAGGTTAAAGAAATAGAATAGAGTATAGCTAAGACAGTAGATACATAAAATTCCCAGAAATTTTTACACACTTCAAGCTTAAAAATCACTGCTTGAAATCTCAAGATTATTTACTGGCTCAGATCACAAATACATTTTGAATACCAACTGACAGGTGCTTGGGATATAAAGGGAAACAAAAGTGTTAACTACTTGCTTTCATGAAGGCTGCAAAAGGACAGATATTTCTTTATTTAAGTAAACAGTATAGTTTATTTACTTTTAAAATATAAAGGAAAAATAAATATTCACAAAACCACAAAGCTTTGAAAAACATTTTGTCAAATTTTATAGCACAGTCAGTATATCTCATTTCTAAAAGTCTACCTTCCTAAAGAGTCAGGGACCTCTCCAAATTACTGAGGAGTAATGATGTTAGTTTGAGAACTAAAGTGCACCTGATTGTGGCCACGGTCTTTTCGACTGACTAGTTGCTAAGCTGCTGAGAGCTGGACAAATGAATAAGGATGAGAAAAGATGAACTGAGGCCTTTGAATTGTGTTGAAGAAGAGTACTGAATATCTTATGGACTTCCTAAAGAACAAACAAGTATTAGAGAAGGGACAGCCAGACTACTCCTCATAGGCAAGAATGGCAAAGTTTCGCTCCACATACTTTGGGCATGTTGCTAGGAGAGACTCTTCCTTAAACAGTGATATCATGCTTGGAAAGGTGAAGGGTCAGTGAAAGAGAGGAAGACCCTCAACCAGGTGGATTGGGACTACACTGTGACTGCAACAATGGGCTCAAGTGTGTCAGTGATGATGGGAACGGCAAGGATAGGACAGGACTCAGATTTGTTTTTTATAGGCTCACTATGAGTCATACGCAAATCAAAAGCACCAAATAATAATAACCACCTTCTTAAAGTATCTATTTTTACTGCTGTTTTAAGACTGCACTGTTGTTAGGCTCAAACAGAAAATACTGCCAGAGATTTAAATGTAAATCCATTTAAAGTTGAATTCTTCTCTAATCATAGCCAACACTTAAGAATATCTATGGCTAGTCCTACTTTTTCAACAATATTTCTTTCACAAAAATAAAAAGACTCTAAGAAAATATTATGAATTTATGCTTATTTACATCAGTCATGCTCAGTCCACCAAATTAAAGATGTGTCTTAAAAAATATGTATATGGAAATATTATGAAATATCTTAAAAGCAAAAAGTACTGGTATGCATGAATATGGTGAAAGGAACAAAGTATTAAATGCTAAGAGGAGCAAAGATTTTTATACAGATGAAACTTACAATTGGTCTTTAAATGGAACACTTTGATTCATTTGCTCAGCAAGTGTTTCGTGAGCACTTACCACTGATGGCTAAAATAAAGCAGTAAGCAAGGCAGCCACGAGTCTAGCCCTGAGGATCTGATCCTAGTCATCCACAAGCAGAGTGGACAGCCTAGTATACTTGCAGAGAAAAAGTTGGAAGACTGTCATTCTCTGAAAACATACCTTACAATAGCAGTACTGCTCACACCTGATCCTTAGATAAATAAAGCTTGACCTGTCACAGAGTGATGGCCGATCTCCCAACCTCCTCAACTGTCCTTACTCTCCAAATCTATATACTGCTACCTTGTTTCTTAAGGCCTAAACCACCTTGGCTGTGGAGTCTGTACTGTCATTAACAACACTGCCAGCTACAATGCAGCTCAAAACAAATTTAAAGATAACATTTCCATCAAGTCAGAACCCACAAAAAGGTGATTCTCCTGTGAGTTTTCAGAGGCTATAAATCACACAGGAAGAGTGTTTTAGAGTAGCTGGTGGATTCAAACCACTTGACTTCGGGTTGGCAACACAACTCCTTACTACCAGGCCACCTGAGTTCCCTTAAGTTGTGTATATACATGGAATATTCCTTACACCAGGCTATGCCTGGTGCCAAAGTTTGTGTTCCCAATTATGTTATATTGCCTCTAGTGCCCCAGGCTATACCTTGTCCAGTATGTTTACATTAAAACAAAACAAAATAAAGAACAAAAGTCTTTAGAATACAGCAAAGGAGCCTAAAACAGTTTCTGGGTCAAGATTATTTTTACATAGTTCTTGAGCTCTAACTAGGGACCACTCAACAAAATATGGCCCTCTTTGGTGCTGAAAAGTACCATCCAGAAGTCTGGGTGGAAATTTCCAAAAATAAATAAATCCACCAAATCTCCCTAAGGAAACAAGAAATTGTGCCAAAACAAGAATAAAATGCTTCAGATATAGGTTGAGAGGCCAAGCAGTAAGGAAGGGCCTGATCTTTGGTATTAAATGTAAACATCTTCGACTGACTCTTAAAGCTGCCACAAAACCTTTGTCACTTCAATAAATAAGAATGATAATGGCTACTTGGGGCGGGGGGAGGTAAGGATTACAAGAATTAAGTCTTTTAAAAAATGTCAAAAAAAGGTAAAGCATATGTAGTAGACTTAATACATTTCAGACATGGTGAATGGCAGTACCCTGTTGGCTGGCGAGGAAGCAAGAGCTTCGGCGGCCTCTCAGTGACGACACGGGCGACTTCCCTGTGACAATCACCTTAAACTTGAGGTCTAACTCTTAAGTCTTAGGTGGGCTGATCCCTATGGCCACGCCCCCCGCCCACCCCAACCTAGGCCTCCACACACTCCCAAAGCAAGAAGCTGAACAGCGTTCTGGATAAAGTGCGCCCAGGAGATGCAGCCTCGAGTCCGACCTTAACTAACTGCCTCCATCTCAGTATTCTCATCAGTGAGATGAGCCTGGTCCTCCGTTAGACACGCCACGCCGCCTCCTGCTACTGCCCAACGCCAACCCCGCAGGGTCCGCTGCCTGGTCTCGGAGCCAAGCGTGCTAACCTGCAATCTGGGAGACGAAGGCTTCCGCCCTCAGAGACATGTCGGATAGGTGACCTCGTACCCGCCGTTCCCGCTCTCTGCAGCCCAAGCGTCTTCCTCCTCAACCGCAGTGGCTGCTAACAAGCTGAACAGGGGACTGGACTTGTGAGAGACACCCTGCGGAAACTCCACTGATGGCAGGAAAGGAAGCGAGGCTCCCAAGGTTACCGCCAGGCCGCAGCCAGGAACTTCCGGCGCAGCTGACAGCCGCGCACGGGCGCTTCCGCCGGCACAGCCCCGCCCCCGCCGTCCTTCGGCGCGGCTTGCTCACCGAGACCCTAGCACCGCACGCGTAACCGGCCCAGACGGCTCGGGGGCCTGGTTCTCTACTCCCTTCGCTAATGTAGCGACAGTCTCCAAATTCCGGGGGACTTAGAGCTTTCTAGTATTTCTCGTGTGAGCAAAAGAAAGAAGCGAACATTTTTAAAGCGTAGATACACACCTGACACGTGAAAAGATCCCTATTCTACTTCCTAACACCCTTTCAACAACCTATTAAAATGGTATGTCATGCCCTTAACGAATAATAGAGCATTTTAACCATTCGCTCAGAGACTTCACGCAGCCCCAGACTCAACCTCATATTAATTCACTTTACACTCTACTGCTGTGTTGATGGGTCCAAGGATGGCTATTGATGTTTTAATTCAGAGTTGCTTGTCAGAATAAGGAAAGTTGAGCAGCACCCACAGTGAGAGACAGTTGGCCCTTAAATTGTGTGTGATCGAAATGAAGCTTAGTTTGGAGAATCTTTAGTTCCACACAGGTTTTACATTTAGGGGTGGTCAGTTAGGAAGTTCTCTGCGGATGTCCTGTTGCAGTCGTTTTTGGATAATCTTCAGTAGAATCTTGTTTGCATGTGAAATCAATGATATTGTTCTATAGTTTCCACACTCTGTTGGGTCACCCTTCTTTGGAATGGGAACAAATAGAGATCTCTTCCAGTCAGTTGGCCAAGTGTTTGTTCTCCAGATTTCTTGACACAACTTGGTGACCACGTCCAGGGCAGCATCTGTTAGCTGAAATATGTCAATTGGTATACCATCTATTCCATCTATTATGTTTTTGCTATTTCCTTCAAAGCAGCCTGAACTTCTTCCTTCATCACCATAGGCTCTTGCTTATATGTTGTTTCATTAAATTCTTCTGTGTCTGCCAACTCCTTTCGATACAGTGACTCAGTATCTTCTTTCCATCTTCTTTTAATACTTTCTGGATCATTTCATATTCTGCCTAAAGCATCTTTAATTATAGCAACTTGAGGTTTGAATTTGTTCTTCAGTTCCTTGAGCTTCAAAAATGCTGAGCGAGTTTGGCCCTTTTGATCTTCTGACTCCAACTCCTTGCACATTTCATTGTAATATTTTACTTCGTCATCTCGTGCTGCCTTTTGAAATCTCCTATTCAACTCTTTAGTATCTTGAATTCTTCCTTCTGCTTTTGTTTCTCTGTGTTCCAGTGCAATTTTCAGAGTCTCTTCTAACATCCATTTTGGTCTTCTCTTCCTCTTCTGTCTTTGCAATGACCGTTTGCACTCTTCCTGGATGATACCCTTGATATCCTCCCACAACTCATCTTATCTTCACTCATTAGTGTTCAAGGCCTCAAACCTGTTCCTGAAATGGTTCTGAAATTCAGGTGGGATAGACTGAAAGTCATATTTTGGTTCCCGTGGATTTGGTTTCATTTTCCTTCAGCTTCAGCTTGAACTTGAATATGAGTAGTCCAGGCTGGGTTTAGAAGGGGCCATGGTACTAGGGATATTGTAGCTAATGTTAGATGGATCTTAGCTGAAAGCAGGGAATACCAGAGGAATGTATATTTGTGTTTCATTGGCTATGCAAAGGCATTTGACTGCGTGGATCATAACAAACTGTGGCTGACTCTGAGAAGAATGGGAATCGCAGAACACTTCATCATGCTGATGAGAAACCTATACTTGGACCAAGAGGCAGTCGTCAGAACAGAGCAAGAAAACACTACATGGTTCAAAATTGGGAAGGGCATATGCCAGGAATGTGTCCTGTCTCCATACCTTTTCAACCTGTATGCAGAACAGATTATCCAGGAGGCTGGGCTCTATGAGGAGAAATGTGGGGTCAAGATTAGTGGAAGATATATCAACAATCTGCGTTATGCAGATGACACAACCCTGCTTGCTGAAACTGAGGAGGACCTGAAGCGCTTGCTGCAGAGGGTCAAGGACTGCAGCCTCCAATATAGATTGAGGTTCAACGTCAAGAAGACAAAGATTCTCACCACTGGACCAATTGGCAGCATCAAGATGGATGGTGAAGAGATTGAGATTGTACACAGCTTTAGTTTGCTTAGCTCCACAGTCAACACTCTTGGCACCAGTAGCCAGGAAATTTAAAGACGTATTGCCATTGGAAAGTCTGCTCTTAGGGACCTCTCCAAAGTATTGAAGAGTAATGGTGTCTCTCTGGAGACTAAGGTGCATCTGATACAGGCCATGGTCTTTGATATCACTTGTTATGAATCAAAGAGTTGGACAATGACTAAGGAGAATAGAAGGAGAATTGATGCCTTTGAGCTGTGGTGCTGGAGAAGAGTACTGAAGGTACCATGGACTGCTAGGAAAACAAACAGATTCATCCTGGAAAGGGTTAAACCAGGCAGCTCCTTGGAGGCAAGAATTCTGAGGCTGCATCTGACATACTTTTGACATGTTGTAAGGAGGGACCAGTCCTTGGAGAGGGACATCATGCTTGGGAGGGTGGAGGAACAGCGCAGGAGGGGAAGGCCCTCTATGAGGTGGATTGATTCAGTGACTGGGGTAATCAGGATGGATGTGTCGGAAACAGTGAGATCAGCACAGGACAGAGCAGAGTTTAGAGCTCTTGTACATAGGGTCGCTATGAGTCGCAAGGGACTTGATGGCACATAACAACAACAACAGGTAGGAAAAGGAAAGTAAACTAGATCCCACAAGCTACTTTTTCTCTCGTAACCCAAGCAACTTCGTATACATACAAAATTAAATAAAAATCGGTATATATTACGCATTCATGGACATAAAATATTCTAAATGGGCTGAACTTTTGACAGAGATCATCTGATGAGCTAAGGTCCCTATTACAGATGTGTACATTTTCAATTGTACAATAAATCACAAAGATAGCTTATTAAATTTTTACTAAAGAAGTCTGGAATTCTAGGAATTGCTGCTCATGACATTTAGAAAGTTACTTATATCTCCTTATTTGTGTTCTTTTAACTCTGAAACTATGACACTTACTTGTTCATATTTTGGCCTCCTTAAAAATTCTGGCAGCATACTATACACTGCTAAACTTATAGGTCAGTAGTTCAATCCACCAGCTGATCTGGTGGAGAAAGATGGTCCCTCTCCTCTCATAAGGATTTACAATCTTAGAAACCCAGTACGGGGTTGTTAATGAGTGGGAATCTGGTCATAGCAGTATGTTTTATTTTATCCACCTCAACTAGGTAAGTCTGAAATTTGTAAGTTTCTCCTTTAGAGATTAGGAGTCTTAAAGTGAAAGAAATGGACAAGAGTTACACACTTGACAGACATGGAAGACAAATGGAGCAGTATCAGAGACAAAGTAGCACATGCCCTGGTAATTTTGCCATATCCATCACTTGATATATTGTGATGAGCTGACGGGTTCCATGTTCTGGGTTGTTGTGCTGGTGAGCTTTGGAGAAAAGACAGATCTGCTGGGGGCATCTAGCTAGACTCAATGCTGTCTTCACTGCAGTCAAGGAAACAGAGTTACCAGTGCATACATATGGATTCACTTTCTCTCCCTGACTGACAGGTCTTTTACTTCCCACACAGGCAAAATTAGGCTGGAAAGAATCTATAATGTGGGAGGTCTTTTTGACTAAAAATTAAATCCAATAAAATGCAGATGTCCTGACAGTGCCCACAAACAAGCTGTCTTTGTAATAAATAGCCAACCGGAGGAAATATATCTATGCATCTGTCTTACAACAACACAGGAGTCCTTGTGGCACAGAGGTTAGGTACTCACTGCTAACCAAAAGGCCTGCAGTTCAAACCTACCAGCCACTCCAAGGGAAGCAGATATAGCAATCTGCTGCTTTAAAGATTACAGAGTTGGACCCCATGTGGCAGTTCTACTCAGGCCAATGAGGTTACTATGAGTCAAAAGCAACACAATGGCAGGGGGTTTGGGAGTTTATTAGGCGAACTGACAGATTTTTAAAAGATTTTTTTAAATATCACCACTATTAAGTTAAATATAAGAAATAAACCTAGGATTTTTTTTTAAACCTAGGATTTTTAAGAATGAAGTTATAATAGAGGGAGAAAAAAATGATGTTGTTAGTGATTTTGTCTTACTTGGATCCACAATCAAAATTCATGGTACCAGCAGTTAAGACATCAAGAGACTTATCACACTGGGAAAATATGCTGTCAGGGACCTCCCCAGAGCACTGAAGAGTAATGATGTCAATTTAAAGGCTAAGGTATATCTAACCCAAGCCATGGTATTTATAATTGCTTGATAACACATCTGAAAGTTGGACAATGAATAAGGATGACAGAAAAAGAATCAATGCCTTTGAGTTGAAGAGTTGGAGAAGAGTACTGAATATCTCATGGACTGCCAAGATGTCTGCATTAGAAAAGTGAAACTAGGCTATTCCTTGAAGATGAGAATAGTGAAACTCCATCTCGCATACTTTGGACATGTTATTAGGAAGGGCCAATTGTTGGAGAAAGACATCATGCTTAGAAAGGTGAAGGGTGAGCATATGTGAGAAGGAAGATCCACAACAAGGTAGATTGCCATGATGACCATAACAATGAACTCAAGTGTGTCAGAGATGGTAAGGAGGGCACAGAATGGGACAAGGTTCAGATCTGCTGTTCACAGGGTCATTATGAGTCACAGTCAACAGCACCTAACAACAGCAAACAACTCTCTCCTCTTTGCCACCAAGTCAGAACCAACTCATGAATGACTCTCCAGCAGATGTGCAAAC